CTGGCAGGTGCGCAGGATGATCCTGTGCAGCACCTGGGCCCGAGGTCCCTCCTTCTCCTCCCGCCGAAGGGACACGGCCACAGGCCCCAGCCGGGGGTCCTCACCCAGCAGGTTCTGGTGCTCTGGGAGCAGGCCAGGGGGGTCGGGAGGCCGTATGACCCTTCCCAGCCCCCCTACAGCTCCCCGTGGCCCCAGCCGGCTGTCCCTGCCAGCAGGTTCTGGTGCTCTGGGGGGTCAGAGGGGTATGGGGGAGGGACGGGACCACCACAGCCCCCCCCATCCCCTGCCCCCCCTCACCTTTCCCGTAGAAGTACTTGCGATAGTACTCGGCGCCGTCGTCGCTGTGCTCGATGGGGTGGGGGGGTCGCGCCCCCGCCGGGGGTTCCTCCAGCACTGCCACTGCTGCGTTCGGCAGCTGCCCGGGCCCGGGGGGGCCGCGGGGGGGGCCCAGCCCTGGCTCCTGCTCTCCCCCCGTCTCGCAGCAGAAGCGGGGACAGCTCAGCACCAGGGCCTCGGGGTCGGGAGGAGCCCCGTGGGGCCCAGGAGGCTCCTCGGGCTCCAGGTGGGCGGCAGAAGCCCCCGAGGTGGGGCCCGGGTCGGCCGCGGGGGGCTCGGCCGGGTCGAAGAGGATGCTCTGCACGTCGTAGTGAGCGAGGAGGGGGCTCCAGGGGGGGGGGGGGGAGAAATTGGGGTCCCCCCCGCCGACCGCAAGTCCCAACAGCAGCAGAGGGTCGCGGAAGCGGGGGGACGTGGGGCTGCCCCCCCCGGCCGCCTCCTCGTGGCTCTGGGTGCGGGCCCGAGGGAACATTATCCCTGGAGACCCCTTCTCCTCCGGGGACCCCGCAAGGGCCACCTCGCTGCTGCTGCGCTGCAGGGGGACGGCCCCCCCCGGGGACGTGGGCGGCAAGGGGGCCCCCCCGGCCGCGCTGGGGGGAGCGGGGGGTGGGAGCGGCCGGGCCGAGGGGCCCCGCATCTTGCGGAGGAAGAGGTCGTCGGACTGCATGGCCCCCCGGGACCCCAAGGGATCCCCCCGAGATTCCTTAGGACCCCTCTGAAACTCCTTGGGACCCCTCTATTCCCCCCTGAGACCCCTAGGGACTAGCTAGGACCCCCCTGAGACCCCCCGGGATACCCCTGATCCCCCCTAGGGAACACTCCTGTAACCCTCAGGCACCCCAAGGGACTCTCAGGGACTCCCTAGGACCCTCCTGGGGGTTTCTGGCACCTCTCCAGCCACCCAGCCCCCCCAGCCTCCCCCAGTTGTAGCGGAGACTCGCACCCAGGGATTAGTCAATGGAAGCGTGGGAACGGAGTCCATGCCCCGATTGGGTGCCCGGGAATTCCCGCGTGCGGAGGCTCCGCCCCTTTTCCCACGCGCCCCTTCCAGGGTCGCGCTCAATGGGGGCAACCCGGGGGGGTCGGGGGGGCTCCGGCCGCGTCGCTCTCTGGGGCGGGGAGGGACGGCGGCACCTGGGGAGGGATAGGGAGTCAGTGGGGGCTCGGGGGCGCTCCTCAGCCCTCCACGCCCCATCCCCGTGTCCCTCTGTTCCTCCGTGTCTGTCCCTCCATCCCCAGTCAACCCACAGGCCCCCTTTGCCCTCCCCGCCTCGCCCACTCCGCTGCAGGGACCCCAGAACAGGGCTGAGAGCGGGGGTCCCCTTGGACCCCCACGGACACCCGGGTCCTTCCTTTGCCTGAGTCCTGGCCTGGCCCTCTGTGCCCCCGTGGGGTCTGGAGGGGCTCGGTGGGAAGTTGTGGAGCTGGGGGAGTTCGAGGGGGGGCCCGGACGTGCAGCCGCCGGCGGTTTCCTGCCTTACAGGAAGTGTCAGCCGCTGACGGCCCCCCAAGAGCTGCCCCCCAAGTGCTCCCCCTAGCCCCCCGCACTGCTTCCCACCCCCGGGGGGTCCCCCCCAACTCCAGTGACCTCCCCGATGATGGGTCCCCGCTCCTGACCTTGTCCCCGGTGTGAACTCGGGCGTCCGGGCTCCCCCCCAACTTCCCTCCTCCGACTGCAGGACCCGGCGTCCGGCCCCCCCCAGAGGAAACGGCGTCCGGCTCCCCTGACTCCCCTCGGGCACCACGGCCCCTCCCCGCCCCCCTCCCCCTGTCTGTTAAGACGCGATTAAGGACGTTAATCTGGGGGGGCGTAGGGGGGGGTGACTCCCCCCCCCGCGCCAGGTGCAGGTGGCTCAGGGCCGGACAGGGACTCAGGTGTCCCGGGGGGGCCACCCGGGTGTCCCCACCCCTCCTGGGACCCTCTCGGGACCCCACGGCCGCCCCCCCCCCCGTCGTATGTTCCCCAGAGGCGCGGGGGGGACGGAAATCGCGGCCCCGGGCAAAGGTGTCCCACGGGGGTCAGTCGTGGGTCGCAGGGAGGTTCACGGGGGGTTGGGGGCTCACACGGGGGTGGGGGATGCACTGTCCAACAGCCCCCCCGTGCCAAACCCTCGTGCGAGCCCCCCCACTCCCCGGCTCATTCCTACCTCTGGCCCCTTGTGTCCCCGTCACCCTCCAGAGGGGGTCCCACGCTGCTGGGGGTCCCAGGTGTCGGGGGGGTGCCAGGCAGGCCGGACCCCCCGCTTTCACGGGCTGCAGCGGCTCGAGGGGCCACGGGCGGCCGTGCCCCCGCCCTTCCCCTCCGCCGCTTCCTCCCGCCACGGTGAGCCCGGGGGGGGCGGGGGGGCTCCGGCAGCCCAGGGCACCCCCCTGACCCCCCAACCCATCCCTGCTCCCCCTCCCCATGTGGGCAGCCCAGGCATCCGGTGCCCCCCAGGCGATGCCCCCCCCCTCCCCCCCCAGTGCGGCGGGAAAACGACAAAAACGACTTTTTGAACCGTTATCAGGTTTTATTTATTAATTTATTTGTACCAACCCCAAACCCCCCTAAACCAACAAAACCCCACTGAGAACCATCAAAAACGAGAGAAAGAGTCCAGCCTTCCCCAGGATCCCCCCCTGAAATGTCCCAGAGCCCCTGTCAGAGATCAGGTGCCTCCAAATCTCACCATGAGGCTGTTTAACCCCCCTAGCCCCCCCTGTTATGGCCAGGACAAGCCCTCCCCAGCCCTCTGGAGCCCCTTAGTTATGGGGCAGGACCCCCAAGTTTTCCACTGTAGGGGAGCACCCCCCAGTGCCCCCCCAGACATCCCAGTTATAGCACTGCTCCCCCCCAGACCTCCCTGCTCTGGGGTCAGCCCAACCTCCACTCTCCTCCCGAGGGGGTCTCCCCTGGCCCATCGCCCTCAGGGCCCCCTCTCACCCCCCGAGGGGAGCCGCTGGTGGCTGAGGGGGTCTCAGGGGGCTGGGGGGGGCTCAGGGCCATGCACGGGCTGCTGGGACCCCTACCCTGGGAGGGTGTTGGGGGGGGGCTGCCAGGCGGGACCTCCCCCTCTACACTGGCTGCCAGAGGGCTCTCTGGGGCCGAGGGCAGTCCGAGGGTCAGCGGGACTCCGGTATCACCCCCGGCCCCCCCGCAGCTCCCCTCCCTCAGCCCCTGTGCCTCCCCCAGTCGTGTCCCCCCCCCGGGGTGCCCCCCCGCTGTGGGGGGGCCGCGGCACAGATGCTCCCGGTCGGCGGCGGTGATGATGCCACTGGTGCCGCTCCAGAGCTCTGGGGGGGGGGCACGGGGGGGATTTAGTGTGGGGGGGACACATCCCGGGGAGGGCCTGAGGCCCGGGGGGTCCTGAGGCTGCTCACCACCCATCCTGTCCGTGTCCAGGTGCGGCAGCAGCTCCTGGGAGGGTACACACGCACGGGGTGTTGTGGGGGGCACAGGGGGGCCCCGAGTCCAGGGGGTGTCCCCGTACCCCCCCACTCACCGAGAGCTGGTTGAAGCCACAGAGTTCAGGGGGGGTCGCATGTGGCCACCGGAGCACCGAGAGCTCCAGACCCCCCCCAGGGAGCCTGGGGGGTAGAAGTGAAGGGGGGTACGAGAGGACCCCAACTCCCCATCCTGCCCAGCCCTCCCAGGGTACCACAGACATACAGGGTGGCCCCCCGACCCCAAAATATGCCGCAGGTGACCCTGAGACCCCTCCCACGGCCCCCAGGAGCTCCACCCCCAGCCCCTGGGGACCCTCCACGTCCCCCCCTCCCAGCCTTCCCCCAAATCCATCACTGCCCCCCCAGCACCCCAGAAGTGGTCATAGCCCCCCCCCCCCAGCTCTTACAGCCCCCCCGGAGCTGTCTCCCACCCTCACACACTTCTGTCACACCCCGAATGCACCTCGGGGGGGTGGGGGGAATCCCCCTTCCCGGGCCCCCCCAGGACATGTCACTGCCCTCCAAGAGGGGCCACACAGCTCCCCTGCCCCCCCGATCCCCTTGAGCTCCCCCAAACTCACCCGGGGGGCCCGTCCCCCTCCTCAGGGCTGGGGGGGGGCAGCAGAGCGGCCGCCCCCCCCTCGGGGTCCCCCTGTAAGCCCCCCCGGTCGAGCTGCGCGTGGAGCCGGAACGTCACGGCCTTGACGGCCCCGAAAAACGCGGCCACGACCCCGCAGTACAGAGCGGCCACGGCGGGGGTGGGCGGCAGCGCCTGCAAACGGAGGGGTCAGGTCCCCGGGGACAACACCTGACCCCCAACGGAGCCCGAGGGTCCTCAAAGCCCCTTCCTGGCCCCTTCCCCCCACCGAATAGAGCCCAAGGGGCAGCCCGAGCAGGAACAGCCACACGTAGAGCCGGACGCAGTTGGCGAAGGCGCCGAGCTGCGGGTCCAGGAAGCAGCCGCCGGTCAGCGAGGCCCAAACGCCCTGGCGGAGCACCTGCAACGCCGCCGCCCCCGCCATGGTGGCCCCGGGGCCTCCCAGGGGATCGCCAGAGGTCCCCGGGACCCCCTGGGACCCCCTGGGACCCCCTGGGACCCCCTGGGACCCCCTGGGACCCCCCAGGCCCGGCGCCGCTTCCGGGTGCGCCCCGGCGCCGCCGGCTCGCGCAAGTGACGTCACGTAGAGGGAATCCCGGCGCGACGGGCAAAAGGGGAGGACACGCCCCCTCCCGCCCTCATGGCGGGAACTGTCACGCGCGTGCGCACCGACGAACACGCCCCCCTAGCGCCCGGGGAGGGCGGGGCCGTTGAGCGGTGGGCGGGGCCAAGCCCCGTTGTCCCCCCGCGGGCCGGGGCGGTGAGGGCGCCCCCCAGTGGCAGCACCGACTCCGGTCCCGGGGGGTCCCCGCGCCGTGGGGGACACACAGACACGGGACCCCCCGGGACCCCCCGGGGCCCCCCAGGGCCTGGGTCCCGCCCCCCCCCCCCGCCCCCCCGGGCCCCCCGGCCCCGGCCCCCGGTTGCCGCGGGGGGCCGCAGCGCCCCCCCCCGCCCGGTCCGGGGGTCCCGGGAGGTCCCGGGGAGTCCCGGGGGGTCCCAGGGGGTCCCGGGGTCAGGGTTGCGCCCCTCCCCCCGCCGGCCCCTCGTCCGGTCCCCCTCCCCCCCCCCGCGGCGTCCGGTGCCCCTGGCCCGCCCCGTCCGGCGCTGGTTCCTTTTCCTTTGTCCCGGTGACAATGTCCCGGCTCCGCCTTCCCGGGGCCGCCTCAGCCAGCGCGGGGAACCGCCGGACCCCCGGGAGCCCAGACCGGCCGGGCCGCCCCCTGCCCCCCCCCCCGGGGACGCCGCCGGACGCCGCTTCCTCCCCCCTCCGGGCCGCGGGAGCTCCGGCGGGACCAGGCGGGGACGGGACGGGGCGCGGGGGGGCCCCGGGGGACGGGACGGGGCGGAGGGGACCGGGCAGGGGGGTGAAGGGGACCGGGGTGGGGGCGGAGGGACCCTGGGGCCGGCAGGGGCTTGTGGCGACCGAGGGGAGGTGTAGGGACCCCCGGGGACCTGTAGGGACCCAGAGGAGCAACAGGGATCACAGGGATCCCCAGGGACCTATAGAGACTCCAAGAATCCCCAGGGATCCCCAGGAGCCACAGGGACCCACAGAAGCAGCAGGGACCACAGGCATCCCCAGGAGCCACTGGGACCACCGGGCACCCTTAGGGACCCCCAGGATCCTACAGGTGCCCACAGGGACCCCTGGAAGCTACAGGGATCCCCCAGGAACCAATAAGGGACCTATAGGAGCTATAAGGGACCATAGGAACTGAAAGAAGGTGTGGGGACCTTCTGGGACCCCCAGGGACCCATAGCCCTCCTCAGACACCTACAGGACCCCCCCAGACCCCCATAGCCCCCCTGGTGCCCCAGTGGGACCCCCAGAACTGTCAGATCTTACAGGCAGCACCTGTAGGGCCCCGGTGACCCGAGTGACCCCCAGGAGCTAAAGGGGCCCCATGGGGTCCCCTGGGCACCCATAGACCCCCTGGGTACCCACAGGACCCCCACAAACACATAGGACCCCCCAGACACCTCTAGGACTCCCCAAGGAACCCGTAGGGTCCCTCAAACACCTGTAGGACCCCCCAGCCCCCTGTAGGACCCCCGGGCCCCCCCAGCGCCATCAGTGGGGGCCGGGGCGGGGGGGGAGCACCCCATGGAGTGGGGCCAGGCATCCCCCTCCCCGTCCCCCCCGGGGGAGTCCCGCTCTCCCTCACCTCCCCTCTCCTCCCTCTTCCCAGGGGGGTCCCGCTCCCCTTTCCCCCCCTCCCCGGGGGGGTCCCGCTCCCCGTCTCCATCCCCGGGCGGGTCCCGCTCCCCATCGCCCCCGGGGGGATCCCGCTCCCCCTCGCCCCCCTCCCCGGGCGGGTCGCGGTCCCCGTCGCCCCCGGAGGGGTGGGAGCCGGAGCGGGCGGCGTTCGGGGAGCTGCGGCTGGAGGAGGTGATCGGGGCCGGGGGCTTCGGCCGCGTGTTCCGGGGCACGTGGCGGGGGCAGGTGGTGGCGGTGAAGGCGGCGCGAGGGGACGCGGGGGCCGCGGGGGCCGCGAGCCTGCGGCGGGAGGCGCGACTGTACGCGCGGCTGCGACACCCCAACGTGGTGGCCCTGCGGGCCGTGTGCCTCGAGCCCCCCCACCTGTGCCTGGTCATGGAGTTCGCGGCGGGGGGGCCGCTGTCGCGGGCGCTGGCGGGGCGCAGGGTCCCCCCCGCCGTGCTGCTGGACTGGGCGCGCCAGGTGGCCCGGGGGATGCGGTACCTGCACGCCGGGACCCCCGTGCCCCTCATCCACCGGGACCTCAAGTCCAGCAATGGTGAGCGGGGGGGCGCTGGGGGGCTCCTGTGGGTGCTCCTGGTGATGGGGTGACGGGATGTGGGGTGCAGTGTGGGGTCCCCAGGGTTGGGGGTCCCGGTTACTGGGATGCCCAAGGTGGGGGGTCGCAGAGGTTGGGGTCCCCAGGGTGGAGGGTCCCGGTTACTGGGATGCCCAGGGTGGGGAGTCACAGAGGTTGGGGTCCCCAGGGTGGGGTCTCAGTCCCCAGGGTCGGGGGTCCCTGACACTGGGGTCCCCAGGGTCAGGGGTCCCGCAGGCCAAGGTCCCTGGGGTGGTTGTCCTGCACTGGGGTCCCCGGATTTGGGGCACATTGGTTGCTGATATCCCCAGGGTGGGGATCTGAGACATGAGGGTCTTGGGGTGTCCCCAGTGGGGGAGGTCACAGAGGCAGAGGTTCCCAGGATGGAGGAGGTTCCAGATGCTGGGGTCCCTGGTTGGGCCGTCCCTGACTTCTGGCCCCCCCAGTGCTGCTGGTGCAGTTGGTTTTGGGGGTCGGTGGTTGGGGGTATCAGGCTGGGGGGTCCCTGTGGGATCCCTGACCCCTGCCCCCCCCAGTGCTGCTGGCACAGCCGGTTGTGGGGGACGACGTGAGCGGGAAGACGCTGAAAATCACCGACTTCGGCCTCGCCCGCGAGTGGCAGCGAACGACCAAGATGAGCGCGGCCGGAACCTACGCCTGGATGGCCCCCGAAGTCATCCGGGCATCCACCTTCTCCAAGGGCAGTGATGTCTGGAGGTGGGAAAGGGCTGGGAGGGTCCAGAGGGCACTTAGGGGATCTAGGAGGGTGGGAATCCGCCCCTGAGCTCTGGGCTGGGCTGTGGTTTGGGGTGCCTGGACCCCTGGGTGCCTGGGTGGGGGGTTTGGGGGTACCTGGACATCCTGGGTTCCTAGAGCAGCAGTTTGTGGGATGTCTGGGTGGGGGGTTATAGGGCACCCAGGCACCTGGGTCCAAGAAGGGGAGGGTGAGGAGATCCAAGGGGGTCCCCATGAGTTTGGGGGTGTCCCAGTGGCTCCCCATGTGTTTGACCCCCCTTTTCCCCCCCAGTTACGGGGTGCTGCTGTGGGAGCTGCTGACGGGGGAGGTGCCATACCGGGGAATCGACGGCCTGGCGGTGGCCTATGGGGTGGCTGTGAACAAACTGACCTTGCCCATCCCCTCCACCTGCCCCCCACCCTTCGCCCAGCTCATGGCAGGTACAGGGGGATCGGGTGCTGGGGGAGACCTAGGGGCTCGGGGGGGCCAGGTGGGACAGGGGATGGGGTGACACTGGGGGCTGGGTCCCCATCCTGCTCAACTGCCCCCTGCCCTTTGCCCAGGTGATGGCAGGTATGGGGGGGTGGCAGGAGGGCGGGGAGGGTTCAGGTGGGCTGTGGGGAGGGGTCAGGCAGCTCAGAGGTGGTGGGGGATTGTGGCGGATTGTGGATATTGGGATCCTCAGGGGTTTGGGGGTGCCCAGACCCCTGGGTTCCAGAGGAGAGGGACCAGGGGGTACCTGGGTCCCTGGGGGATATTGGGGTCCCCCACGAGCCCCCCCCAGATCCCGATTCCCCTCTTAGCCTGCTGGGAGCAGGACCCCCACCGGCGGCCGGGCTTCGGGGCAATCCTGCGGCGCCTGGGGGGGCTGGAGCCAGCGGGGCTGGGGCCCCCCGAGTCCTTCCACTCCCTGCAGGAGTCCTGGCGCCGTGAGATCCAGGGGCTCTTCGACGAGCTGCGGGCGCGCGAGAAGGTGGGACCCCCAACACCTGGGACACCCCTGGGACCCCCCCAACTCCTGGGGCCATCCCAAACACCTGGGACACCCCTAGACCTCCCTGGAGCCCCTGAACAGTAGGGATCCATGGCAAACACCTGGAAATCCCCTGGGACACCTGGGACGCCCATGCAACCCCCCAAAACTCTGCAGCAGGGCTCGGCCCTGCCCTGGTGCTGCTCGTGGCTGGTCCTTGTCCCTGGGACCCCCTTGTTCCTGTGACCCCGATGGCCCCCCAGGAGCTGGGAGGAGGCTGTGGCCAGGGCCCACTGTTCCTAGGCCCCCTGTGTCCCCTCATGTCCACCCGTGTCCCTCATGTCCCCCATGACCCCATGTGCCCCCAACGATCTTTTGCCCCCCCGTGCCCCCCAGGAGCTGCGGAGCCGGGAGGAGGCTGTGGCCAGGGCGTCCCGGGCCCAACGCTCCCAGGCTGAGGCGCTGCGGCAGCGCGAGGCTGCCGTGGCCCGGCGGGAGCTGGAGGTGCTGGAGCGGGAGCTGAGCCTGATGCTCCGGGGGCCTCCCCGGCCGCCCTCAGCCCCCAAGCGACGACGACCCCCCTTCCGGCGGCCGCGGCGGCCCGCAGACCTCATTGGCATGCCCCAGGGTACGGGGGGGGGAAAACAGGGGCTGGGGCTTTGGGGGCCCAGGGGTTTTGGGAGCTGGGGCCTTTGTGGGTGCTGGGGAGGCTCTGGGGGGACCGGAGGGGCAGTGGGCTGTTTGAGCTGGGGGAGTTGGAGTTGGAGGGGCTCTGGGGGGAGTTTAGGGCCCTGGGAGTTATGGGGGCCTGAAGGGTGCCTGGGGGGTTGTTGGGGCTTGCTTGGGGGTTTTGGCAGGGTTCAAGGGCTCTGCTGACCCCAGTGCCCCTCCAGACTTCAAGCATCGCCTGACGGTCCAGGCTGCGCCAGGAGGGGACCCCCGAAGCCATGACCCTGAGGATGGGCCGGGGGGGTCCCCCCCTTTCCCCCGCCTGCGTGCCATCCAGCGTGAGTGATGTCGTCGGGGGGGGTGGGAGGTGATTCTGGTGACGTCACACCTCTTGGTGATGTCACACACACCCCCCGGGTGACATCTCCCCTCTCTCCCCAGTGGAACCCGAGGAGGAGGAGGAGCTGCCGCGGGGGCGCGGGGGCAAGAGCAATGCCCCTAATGGCAGGTGGGTCCCTGGGGAGCTTGGGGGGGTCAAGGGGGTCCCACCCCCCTCCAGACACCTGGAACTCCCCTTGGACACTTGGGCACAACCCCCCCCCCACCGCAGGCGGCGGCTGCGCCCGGACGAGACCACCTGGTACCTGGACACAGATGAGCTGAGCCCGGGGGATGCATCCCCCAATGGTGAGTCCGGGGGTCCCGGGGATCCCATCCCTGATCCCCCCACACACTGACCCCCACTGTGTCCTGCAGGTGAGGCCGGGCCCCCTGAAGCTGAGGAGGGCCGGGGGTCTCGGGGGGGGACCCCGCGGCTGCTGCGGCGGGCGCTGCTGAGGGGTTCGGCCCTGCTGGCGTCCCTGGGGCTGGGCCGTGACCTGGCCCCCCCCGAGCCCCCACGCAGCCCCCCACCCTCCCCTGGCCTCCTGCGCCTCTCCCCCCGCTGGCGGGATCGGACCATGGGGTCCCCGGAGCTGAGCTCACCTGGGACCCCCGAGCTGGGTCGTGCCTGGACCCCCGGGTCCCCAGATCCCAGTGGAGTCCGGACCCCGGGGACCCCCAGGACCCCTGAGCTGGGGCGAGCCCAGATTCCTGGGTCCCCAGATCCCAGCGGAGTCCGGACCCCTGGGACCCCTAGGACCCCTGAGCAGGGGCGAGCCCGGACTCCCAAGACCCTGGAGCTGAACTGGTCCCGGACCCCTGAGCAAGGGGGAGCCAGGACCCCTGGGACCCCTGGGACCCCTGAGCTGTGTCACCCCGGGACCCCCGGGACCCCTGAGCCAGGTCATGGCCGGATCCCTGGAACCCCTGAGCTGGGCCGTGCCCGGACACCTGGGACCCCTGAGCTGGGGCTGCCGCCATCCCCCCGGGGTGCCAGGAGACCCCGAGAGCTGAGCCCGGGTGCCGGGACACCCGAGTGGGGTAAGTGGAGCTCGGGGCTCAGGCACTTGGTGGGTCTGAGGGGCAGATTTGGGGTGGTTGGGACAGCCACGGGGGGCTGTGGAGCAGCTTTGGAGCTCTGTGGGGCAGGAGGGGGCGATCAGGGGCCCCATAGGGCAGTTCTGGGGCTCTGGGGGCACTCAGAGGTGCCGTGGGGCATTTCTGGGGGATGTGGGGCTGTTTTTGGGGGGCCATGGGGCAGCGGGAGTCCCACGGCCCCCTCAAGCCGCCCCCTTTCCCGCAGGCCCCGCCCGGCCCCGCCCCTCACCCCTCCGCCCCCGCATCGACCCCTGGAGCTTCGTGTCCGCGGGACCGCGCCGGGCCCCGCCCCCCGCCGGGCCCCGCCCCCGCGACCCCTTCACCGACCAATGAGCGCCCGCGGCGCGCCTGGACTCGCCCCCACCGCCCTCCAGTGACCAATGAGCGGCCGTGACGAGCGGGAGGGCGGTGCAAGCCCCGACCCCACCGCGAGGCTCCGCCCCCGCCGGGTCGTGATGGACAGCTGGCGGTGCCAGAAGCCCCGCCCGCCCAGGCGCCCCATTGGTCAAAGTAAAGGGCATTACAAGAGCTCCGCCCCCTCCGGGGCGGGGTCACCACGGCAGGAAAACCACGCCCTCTTCGGGCAAACAGGAAGCTCCGCCCCCATTGATGGGATTCAGGAAGCCCCGCCCCCCGGCGGAGGCCCCGCCCCCGGGCGGTTCCGACACTGGACGGGGTCCGGGGGAGGGGATGGGGGGGACGACTGTGACCAAATAAACTCCCGAGACCCCAAAACCGCCTGAGCCGCCTCGTCCTGCCCGGCGGGGGCCCAACAGCGCGGGGGGACCCTCATGGTCGGGGGTCCCGCCACCCTTGGGGGTGAACCAGTGATTCTTGGGAGGGGTGTCTCATTCTCCCCCCCCCAACCCCCGTCGTCGTCGGGGGTCCCAGCTCTTCCGGGGGGTCCATTCCCCCTGTGGGAGTCCCAGGGGTTTGGGGTGTCCATCTTCCCCATCGCCCTCTGCGAGGTCGTTTGGGGGGGTTCCAGGGGTTTGGGGGGAAATCCCAGGGATTTGGGGGGGCCCATCTCCCCATGAGGGGGACCCAGCCTTGTGAGGGGGGTCCTCATCGCTCCCTGGAGGGACTCAGGTGTTTGGGGGGAGATCCACCCACCATGGGGTGGTCCCAGGAGTTTGGGGGGGTCCCCCTTTCCCCATGGGGGGGGGTTCCAGGCGTTCCGGTGGGCCCCACTGGGAGGGTCCCAGAAGTTTGGTGGGACCCCATATCCCATGATGGGAGGCTCCAGGCATCCGAGGGGGAGTCTCCTCCTGGCCATGGGACAAGTCCCAGGAGTTTCGGGGGTCCCATCGCTCCTTCCCACCCCCCCCCCCCCCCAAGTCTCCCCGGCTGTGCCCGGCGCTGGAACCGGCCCGGCCATCCGGGCTCCTCTCCTCCCCCACCCCCCGCCCCCCCCCAATTCCTGGAGCGGACCCAGGGCCCGGCCCCCGCCCCCCTCCCCCGCCCGGGCCCCCCCGTCCCTCCCCCCCATTCCAGCGCCATCCCGGGCGGCCGCGGGAACTCGGGAGTCCGGCGGGAAACCCCCCCACCCCGACCCGACCGGGGGGACCCCGTGTCCGGGACACCCCCAGACGGGACCCCACGTCCGGCGAGAGAACCCTGGAGCCCGGGACATCCCCGAGGGGACCCCAGCATCCGGCGGGGGGGGCTCCGGCCTCTGGGACACCCCCAGAGGAGACCCCGCATTCTGCGAGGGGATCCCGGAGCCCGGGAGACCCCCAGAGGGGGACCCTCGGCCTCGGGGCTTGGAGGGGGTCTGGGAGCCCCTTGAGAGGGGTTCAGGAGAGCCCCAAGAGGGCCCCAGACATCTGGGATCCCCCCAGGAGGGGACCCAGGCATCTGGGACCCCCCCAAGGGTCCCAGGCCTCCGGGAGAACCTCCTGAGGGACCCCAGGGTCCGGGACCCCCCCCCGAGGGGTCCCTGGCGTCCGGCCCTGAGCTCTCGCCCCTCGCGGGGCCGGGGTCGGGGGTCCCGGGGGTCCCGCGGTCGGGGGTCGCCATGTGGCGCTGGGAGGGGCTCTGGGTGGTGGCGCTGGCGGCGCTGGCGGCGCTGGGGGGACGCGGGGGGGGCGCGGCCGTGGCCCGCGAGCGCTTCAAGGTGGTCTTCGCCCCTCTGATCTGCCGGAGGACGTGTCTGAAGGGGCTGTGCCGGGACTCGTGTCAGCCCGGCTCCAACATGACCCTGATCGGAGAGAACGGGCACGCGGCCGACACCCTGACCGGGTCCGGCTTCAGAGTGGGTGAGTGGCACCGGGACAGGGGTGGGCACAGGGACACTGGGACAGGGACACAGGGGCAGGGGTGGGGACATGGGCACAGGGACACCGGGACAGGGATGGGACAGGGTCAGGCACGCAGCCAACACCCTGACCGGGTCCGGCTTCAGAGTGGGTGAGTGGCAACGGGACAGGGGTGGGGACATGGGGGA